TATAAAAGTTTATCTTACCATTGACCATATGTTTTTTCTTTAAAAATGAAAGTTAAATACTCTGAGTATTTATGGAGGTGCATTTAACTTTCTAAAATTCTATTTTTGAAAAAATTAATAGTACCTCCATTTTTATTTAGTTGCAACCCTTTAAATGTTACATTAAATAATTCACGGCTTTGACTATTGGTGTATGTATTTTTTTTTTCTTTTTAATATTAGGAAATGTTATCAAAAACATATTTTTATAGTATAATTGTTTAATAAATAAATAAATAAATAAATAAAATGCATTTAGAGTAGAATGTGTGAATATTATAAAGATCACATGTTGCAACTATTAAAGAACAAAAAGAGCACATGCAATTTTGAGGTATTCATTTCACGCTTCTCCCAAAGCTGGGGTATTAAAATTATCCTCCCCGTGCTTATTTTATATTTTTGTTCTCCTCTCTAGTAGTCTTTAAATATTGTAGTATTTAGTTAAGGAATTGCTCTAAATTGAAGTAAAAATAATGTTTTTCCCTAAATAGAACTACTATATGTTTTCCTCTAAATAGTACCGAAGTTTGGTACTATATTTAAAAAAGTCTTTTAATAAGCAACATCATCTTGAAATCAAATTTAATACTAAGATCATAATTTCATCTTTTCAATGTTTGATCATACCATAATATGACAATATGATACTAGGATGATGGTGCTTTAGGGGGCGTTTGTTTTTCGGCAGTTCCACGTCAATCCGCTGCTAATAGCAGCATTTCTAAGTTATAAAAAACAGCGGTTTGATACCTACCGCCGATATTCAAACAGGCTCTTAAATAAGTCACCTTATTTTTACACATATTTTGAAAAAATTCCATATCTATCGCAGATAAATGTTTATATGATGATATCTATCTAAAAAATCATTGAGTTTTGAATTTGTTAATAAAATTGCAAAGCCAATTAACAATTACATATGAATTCTGGAGATGAATTAGATACAAATGCAGTGTTTTGTCGTGGCAAGGTTGTATCAACGGGACATAGGTTGATTGCTGGATTCGTTGCTAATATGTGGTTCCATCCGTTCCAAATTTCAAGATACCGAACGGTTTACGATGTTTGACTGACGATAAAGCAAATTGATCTCTGTCAATACTCAAATTAGTTTTAGAAAATGAAATTTACATATTCAAAAATTACATTAAAACCGCTACAAAGTCTGCAAAAAAATTCAAATTTCATTAACTTTTGATATATTAAGTAAAAGATTAAGAATGATTTATGTTGACCAAGTGAATAGTAAATGTATATTACAAATTGGGACTGAGGGAGTATTTGTTTGTAAATAAGGTTTTGTAAGTCGTGAACAAAATCGACTTAATTGTATTATAAATTCTTCTACTCCATCCGTCCTTGAAAATACTTCCAACTTTCCTTTTTCGTTCGTCCCAAAAAGAACTTCATTTTCCCTTTTTGGCAAAGAATTTGTGGTTCACAACAATTCTTACACATTTCTCTCTTCTCTGCATAACTTTCCACCACACAAAACTCATTTTCTTAATTCGTGTGCTATTTGTACTACAGAAGTAAATTTAGGGATGGAGGTAGTACTATTTAAAAAACCACTATACAACATTTATCTAAATATTTAATATGATAAGGGCTGGTGACAATCACTTTTATGATACCCGCATGAACAACTTAGTTGATCACAAGAGTGAAATTTGGAATAAGAGAGCTAGGGTTGAACTCGGGCCGAGCCAACCGGCCCGGAACCGGACCGGCCCGCTACTGTGCGGGCCTGGGCCGGACCGGTGAACCGGTTGGTTGGCCGGTTCGAGCCACCCGGCCCGGTGGGATGGTGGTTCGGGCTCAGGCCCTTCAAAAGGTGAACCGGCCCGGCCGGTTCGGGCCCGGGCCGGGCCAATATTTTTTTTTTTTTTGATTTTTTTTTTAAGTTTTTGGGTTGGGCTGGGTATTTTGGACCAGGTGGTTAGGGTTGGTTTGGGGGTGAGGGGGAGGGTTGGGGGTTAACTAGGAAAAGCAAAAAAAAAATAGAACCGAGGCCCGACCCGGCCCGGACCCGGGGGTTACCCGGCCCGGCCCGGACCCGGGGGTTACCCGGGCCGGTTCCGGGCCTCCCCTTCCTGAACCGAGGCCTGGCCAGGCCTGAACCGGAACCGGTCCATGCCTAAAGAGAGCTATGAGGGTTGTACCTATCTTTCATTTTTCATCTCCATCAAAGACTAGCCACAGGGCCGTAGATGAGGTTCTGCAAGCTAGGCTATTGCATAGGGCCTCCAAAAATAGCAGGCTCATTTTTTAAAAAAATATAAATAATATATTTATATAGTAGAGAAATATTTATAAAGTAGAAAAATATTCAGGTCCGGAATTTCGGACCAGAACCGCTGTCTGGACGGTGGCGTTTCAGCGTCTTCCCGATTGACTTTTTTTATGAAATTTTTATGGTATGTTCTTCATCAAATCCAGTTTAGCCACGAAAAAATTCAGCTAAATATTCAATCTGGAAGGTCGTCAAATAATTTTTGGAAGTTATTCCGGCACAATTATCTTTCAAAAATCATATGACGGCCTTCCCGATTGAATTTTTAGCTGAATTTTTTTGTGGATAAACTAGACTTGATGAAAAACATGACATTAAAATTTCATCAAAAAAATTCACCGGAAAGCGCCCCAAACGCCGTCGTCCAGACGGCGATTCCGGGTCGGGAATTCCTAACGAGAAGAGTACTCTATAAAGTAATAGTTTAAATTATTAATAGGAGCCCATTTTCATTTTTGAAACACCTTTATACACTGAACGGTCCAACTCCTAATAAAAGCAAATCATACGTCCACACATTAGATCTATGCATTTTATTTAATAAAAGACCTCATTTGTGTGATTCGCACTGAGTCTCTTAAATAGTCAAGTCGGCCCTGACTAGCCATAATTATCATTTTATAAAACACCATCCCCCTGCTTTTGACTCTCAATACAATTTAAGTGCCTCCAACATGGGTTGCTTTGCTTCTTGTTGCCCTACCTTAAAGCACAAGAAATTTATGAAGACTCTTCATAAATGCTCTCTCCAAACACCAGTGTCTTCAAACAAGTTCAAAGTCTGCTGCAAACCCCCCATGAAAGTGAATTTATTAGTAGGAAAAAGGTGCAAATAGGCTCATGTACTAACCAAAAAAGGTCAAATAAGCCCTCATTTAGGAGGCTCTGTCCGGCCGTCGTCATTTGGATTGGTTCCTGGTGGAATTTTTTGATGAAATTTTTTGAGCATCTTATTCATCAAGTCTAGTTTACTCATACCAAATTTCAGCTAAAACTTCAATCGGGAAGGCATTCAAATGAATTCTTGAAGATAACTGCGATTCTAACTGTGCAGTTATTTTCAAGAATTCATTTGAATGCCTTCCCCAATGAATTTTTAGCTGAAATTTGGTATGCGTAAACTAGACTTGATGAATAAGATGCTCAAAAAATTTCATCAAAAAATTACACTCGGAACCATCCCAAATGGCGATGACCGTACAGAGCCTCCTAAATAAGGGCTTATTTGACCTTTTTTTATTAGTACATGGACCTATTTGCACCTTTTTCCTTATTAGTATAGTAATTAGTAAAACCATCTCACATTGAGGATACTGTCCTACCCATTGCTGATTCAAAAGAGAAAGAGAAGGGGACATTTGATCTAGATATTAACCAAGAAGATGAGAACAAAGATGGGCAAAGTAAGACAGAGATTAGTACTGATTCAAGCTTGTTTTCATTTCTCTGGATAATCATAACTGCAAAAATGGTGATGATGAGAATCAAGAAGAATCATCTGAGTCACTCTTCTCTCTGTCAATAGACTCCATCCGGAAGAGTCTCTCTAAATCTGACAGGGAAGAAGTTAACAGTCCCTTGAAGCCAAAGGGAAGAGACAGCAGCCCATTTGTTCAGTCTGTCTTGAATCCAATCCAAAGTATTGTTGAACCAGGACCAGCTAAGGAGAAGAAACTATCATCACCAATTCACCATTAATGGAGCCTCCAGAAAAGGAGAACCAGAATGTTGAAGCTAACTTGTCTAGCTGGTTGGTAGAAAAAGGAAAAAAGACCCCAACTCTGAAGACAGTCCAGATTCTGTTGGGAACTTATCCCAAGAATTGAAAAGAACAGAGTCTAGAAAGGAATCTGGGAGGAGGCCAATCATGGGAGAATTGAAGCTTGAAGGCATCCAAGCTTGAACAGTATACTAATATTCAATTTTTAAGTTCATGAAACAATAGCTGCCGGAGACCTAGCCTTTGTGGTTAGCTAAGTCACCATTATTATAACCTTTCTTATGTTCTATCGGGTCAGGGCATGAGGAAACCATAAAGATTGAGGATTCAACTTTTTGGAACAAATTATAAATTCTTAAAGAACGTGTTTTCCTGCAGCAGTTATAACATCTTAAAATCTTGAATAATTCAAGTGTTGCGCCCCCAGATCTTTTTATTGTGAACTTTTTCTTTGAGTTGGGATACTTTTGTGATCTTAAGTTCGTCTTTATCATAACATTTAGATGTAATTACCTAAATGGGAGTAAATACATTTTTAATTGCCTTATGAGTTTCTGACTTCTGTGGCTTCATTGAATGTGTTTTAGCTCTGTGCATGTTGCGCAAGACTTTTGACACGACCAAGAAGGGTTTAATATTGGTTTAAGTTGCTTTTACCAATTATTTGGAAGGGCTAAATCGATCAAACAAAAAAATAGGCCGATAAACCTTGCCAAGCCCAGACGACTTAAGCGTGCGCTCTCGCTTCGGCGCTTCTGCGCTTTATGCGCCTAAGCTGCGCCTGAGACAGGAGGGTGCGCCTGGTCATCTTTCAAGCGCTGGACCTCTATTGCATTGCGCCTGGTGCGCTTAAGCGCTGAGGCGCTCGACTTTGACTACCTTGGATATTCCTGTTTCCATTTTGGGTTCACTCCATATTTAAAATGTCGATTTTAGCCTTATATTTAAAACTTTAAAAAGAGGCAACATTATATAAACAGTAGTTGGGTAAGCTTATCCCACATTCTTAAACTTTCTGCCCAAAACCCAAAAAGTATAGTACTATCAATTTGAGATTTGAGACGGAGGGAGTGATATCTATTTTCCATGTGACACAGATCATATAAGAGTAGTCCTTATTCAATAATGGGAAACGCCAAAGGAGAGAGATGTACATCTGCACAGGCATTTAGCTAGGGGAACTTTTGTATGAACTCATATATGTGCAGATTAATATCTTCTGGTTTTTCCTCATTGCAGAAGTGCCCCACCCCTTCCATTATAACCACCTCCTGCAGAAATGGAACGTCTCTTTTGAAACCACCATTGTGTAAGTAGTCCTTCACACCAGGAGTGTTATAGGTCAGGTCAAGATCTCCGACCATAAATTTAACTGGAACCTTTATCTGCACACCAGTCCATGGTGCCATCAGCTCCCAATTTCTGCATCCATCAGTTAAAACAAAATGATATTACAGCTAGAATAGCGAGAGATTTATCATTCTATATTCCAAAATAGATTCCAGATTGACACAATTTTAATTACACACACAAAAAAGTCATAGTTGATCAAACGATGTCCGTATTCATGTAATGTGCCAAAAAACTCACAATCAAGTTAGATGTGAATATGTGATAGCTTTTGTTATAATGCTATTAGTCTATTACATCAGGGGACGACCGGAGGACACTTACAGATCTATCATAATTGACTTTTGAGATTTATATATTACTCTATCCGTCCCGCTAAGATTGTCCCATTTTACCTTTTCAGGAAATCCCTATAAGATTGTCCCATACCATATTTGATAAAGTTTGTGTGGCTCTTAATCATTCTTACTTTATCAATTCAATATCAACCACATAAACCCACTTTTCTTAATAGCCGTGACACCTTCTTCCGTCCCAATGTTAGTGGGACAGAGGTAGTAATATAGATCCCATTTGGTAGTTTTGATTCGACTAATTTTGTCTAATTCTCGAAAATAATAATTTCAGTTGGTTGCAATATTTTATTCCAAGTGTTTTGCCTCTTAGAAAAATATACACATTCAGCCACATGACTCTTACTAAAAGGCTCTAAGAGAAATGGATCAATTGATACATCACCACAAACCGAATTATCCATATATGTATCAATAATGTATGGTAAAAGACCAGAACCACAACCATATTCAAGAATTGTAAGTATGGAGTAAGTGATCAGTTTATTCATAGATTTTGAGTAGGGTGAGTAATCCATAATACCCTTTATGGATACTCCTCTTTAAGTTACTAATTTATTTCCCTTTTGTCAAACTTGTATCATATTTGTACTATGTTTTTGCGCTTGGATAGAAATTTTTAGTGCAATTTCTAAATATGTACGTAGTATATTTTAATTCTTAATGTTAATTAAAACACTATCAAGAATCATTTTTGTTATCATCACTCAACCATCTTGAAACTTAGGTTAACACTCACATATCAATAGCTCTGTAGTAGTTTAATCCACCAGTGAAACCTGTTTGACGGAACTTGCTCACGTAATAGTTCACATCTTCTTCAGACAACCAAGAAGGCTTGTTTATTGGTTGATCAGCAGAGCCCCCAAACCCTTTACTTTTAGGGACTCGTAGCAGACCTGGATTACGATATGTTAAGAATTTGTTAATTATTCTATCAGTACCAGCACGATCAAATTCTTCTTCTGCTTCTCCAGGTTCCTACAAATGCTCAATATTGAAAAGAGAGAAATTGGGATCATAGTAGCGATTGATCTATGAACATAATACTTTGATTTGTAAATTTCTAACAGCATACTTATGTAAGATTAAATTCCAAGATCGGCATCATATAATTATACATAATCATATACCGATAGATATGAGATTTAGGAATACCAATCGATGACAGATGAATGAACTGCAATAAATATTTTATCCCTTCTGGCCTCTTTCTTTGAGATGGAGAGGTATCTCACTTATATTGTTTTGTTATTCAATAGTGAATAAGTGTATATATAAAGGCACCCTATTAAAGGGTTTGGGAACCCTAGTCCTTTAGACTCATTAAACCAATATGGTCTGGAACTTTATGAACTCTATTAATAATATATAACCCCACCAACATTAGAATATTAGGGAGTATGTGAACCCATATTCTAGAATACAGAGAGTTATGCCTAGAATTTGGAACCCATATCTGTAGGAAATTGATACAAAGCAATCATTGTTGTTTTCAACTTTTCCTTAAGTACCTGAAATCTGCAGATATAGTAATCGTCACCAAACAGCAAGCGCATAGATCCAACAGGTTTCCGTGTAGGGTTCCTCGGACTGAAAGCAACGCTCAAATTGACTAGTGCCTTGATTCTATCCGGACGCAGCAAGCAGAAATTCCAGGCAATATAGGCACCCCAGTCATGACCGACAAGGAAGACCTTCTCGAGACTTAACGAATCGAGTAGAGCGACTAGGTCGCCGATGATGTGGAGACAGGTGTAGCTGGAAGCAGAATCCGGCGCGTCTGTGTCTCCATAGCCGCGAAGGTCGGGAGCTATGGCGCGGTAGCCCTTCGCGGAGAGGAAGAGCATCTGGTGGCGCCACGTGTACCAGAGCTCCGGAAAGCCGTGGAGAAATAGGATAGCCGGACCCTGGCCTACTTCAGCAACGTGCATACTGATTCCGTTTACATGTATCTGGTTGTGCTGTATTTTCTCCATGTTTGTTCCTCTGCAATTCTAGAATCCAACTATTTCTTCCTCTGGATTCAAAAGGATAAGATGACAGATCCTAAGTACTAAGCGAACAATATCCGCAAGTTAGTAATAACAATTAACAAGTCAAATATGATTAAAATACTCAAATGAATAGTTCGTGACAACCTTTTAAAATATGTAACACAAATATGATTATTTGAAAATTTTTACGTTACTTCAGGAGTAGTATTAACTAATTGTTAGACTCTCTAGATGCGTGATTCGTATTATTTCAATGAAAGCAAGAGATTGCTAGATTGGTGATTGCTTTAGTCTTTTAGAGATCGAATGTCTTTGTCTTAAGAAAGGATAATATAATGCCTGAAGCATGTATATACTTGTGCCATAGAGCTCGACATATATTAACTTTTGATAGAGTCATACACATTGGAAATTTAATCATATTGTCAGGATAAAAAGTAATAGAAGTACAAATTATATTTATAAACAAGTTGTGCACATAAATAATAATAATAAAATCTCAGTCATTGAGTGTACACTCAAAGAAGCTACTCAAACACTGCGAAATAGTAGTTTGAAAAGTGATATTATACTTATTGGGTGATAGTTTGAGACCATACCAACGCAGTGTAAATTGTGTTCTCACAATATCTGCATGTATCAGAATTCTCCTCACACTATACTATATATACTTTGTTAGTACCCAATTTTGATAGATTTTGATGATGTCACTATACTTAGCACGTATACATTGGGTCTCAGTTTTATTCATGAGTTGGCATTTAAAAGTAATGTGACAAAATAAATGTACAATTTTTGAGACTAATGAAATATTACCGGAAAAGTAAAAATGCAATAAGGTAATTTTTATTTACCTTAATAGAATATTTTAATCCTACCGGCATATATTATTTAGCTCAAAAGTTAATTAAAATGCACATTTTATGGAAAAGAAAATGAAGCTCTAAAATCATATATATGATTGAAGACAGGTTTGTCTAAGCATTTTAATGCTAAGTGTGTACTGGAGTCCGGAGCATTGAAGAAACACACAGAAGAGATACTTCAGCGATCAAAATTAATTGAAGACAATATTAGACCTGCCTTCAATGCTTAAGCAAGTATAGGGGTCTACAGCATGGGACACACATTTTGAAAAGATGCTCTCCGCGGCTAAATAATTCAAGACAAACTCTTCAGTCGCATTAAAAGGCTCCAGCACAAAAAGACGGAAGTACAATTTGTCCTTGCCAGAAATTCAACGGAAGAGATCAAACTATCCTAACCAACGGATAAGATTGATCAGCCAAAAAGCCTATAAATAGAGGCTGAAACGAAAGTTTCTAACCAAGCTTGAGCATCCTAAGTAGAGAGATAATTCATTGAGCAAGAGATAATTCATTGAGCAAGAAGTGTTATTCTATCCACGACTCTCTGCTTAGACTCTTGCTTCACTAAACTTCTTAGTATCAAGTGTTCATTGTTAAATCCTAGAAGTTTAGTTCCTAGTTGGAGGTTAAAACTTTCTTATAACAAGATCAGAAATTGTTGTAAACACTTCAGGAGGACAGTTGTTCCCGGCCTGAGTGTGGTTAGATAGGTCAGAAGTACCTTTTGATCCTCACTTGATCAATTGAGAAAAACCTAAAGGATTGAGTAGCTTGGAGTGGTGTTGTACTCCTCGTGAAACACCTTCAATCTAAGCCAGAGTTGTCAAGACTAGATTGGCACTAAGTGTATTGGGCTTAATACATTAGTGAAATCCATCTGAAAGAGGGTGGGACTGGATGTAGGAGGATTACACCACCTCTGAACCAGGATATACTGTGTGTTGATTCATTTTCAGTCAACAAAGCACACACTGAACACTTCTCATAAAAGATTGTAGTTTGCCAGCAGAATCCTAAGCAGTAGTCTTAACTGACCATACAGCTTATCCTACTGCTTAATAACTAACTTTCTTTGAGATACAAGAGATTCTCAATATCACAACGATCAGGTCTGTTCCATTATATTTCAGGAAATCCTACTTAAAGCATAGCAGTTGCCTCAGCAGTTCCCTGAGGACTACCTAACTGCTAAGCTCACTGCTCACGCAAAAGTGTTTCCTCTGAACATCTCCACTTCACCAGACCTTCACAACTCTATCTCCAAGAAGTCTGTTCAAACTAATCACCATAATTCAAAGTGGTAACCCAGCAGATGCCTCGGCAGTTCCCTCACTTTCACCCAACTGCTGAGACCACTGCTCCAGTAAAACTCCTACTTACTCGGACTAATGCACATCTTCAGAAAGCCCACATTATCCTGAGCAACACCATATAATCAATCCTTCCATACCTTCATTTTTACTTCAACAGGTGCCTCAGCAGTTCCCTGGTTACCACTCAACTGCTGAGACCACTGCTCTCATTAAGATTGATTATCAACCCACCTTGTCATATCATCAGACAGATCTTCCCACTCTGAGAAAAGATTCTGAGTGCACCTTCATCATACACTGAGTATTTCGTTAACAGTTGCCTCAACAGTTCTCTGCTTTCTAGCCAACTGCCTAGCCAGCTGCTCACCTAATAAAGCCCAAACTTCATCCATCATAGGAATTTGTTATACACCATTTATCTAAGAGGTTAAAGACTTCTGTTGTGCATCTAGAAATCTCCCAAACGATTATAGATCAACTCGTCTAGAAGGGAAAAGTTTTAAAGTTGAAAAAGTCTTTAAAAGTCTATTCACCCCCCCCCCCCCCCCTCTAGACTTTTACCTCTATCCGGGACCATCATACTTGAATAATTTAAACACGTGTTGCATGAAGTTTAAGATTTTTGAATAAATGACCAATTTAAGGTCAACCTAGGTTTAAACCAATGTCGTATAAGACATCCATTATATAAAAACTTCTTAGACAAGAAAATGGCAAGACCGTCTATTCTCTCGATAGTTTAAAAAGTGAATCCATGAGAGTTAAGTGAACTTAAAGTTTCACAATGTGGGTTAATATTAAATCTGGTCTCAAGATATTCTCTCTTAAAATGTCTACATGTAATGAGTGGTATAAGATCACTTTGTCGGCTTCTATGAAATATAATGAAGAGCATAAAGTAACTCACCAAATATATCTAGCATTTCGCCTGAGGTAAACTGCTAGAAAGTTGCCTAAATATATAAAGAAAGTCTAGTTTAGATTAATTCGGCATCTATTAATAACTAACCCCCAAGACTTTACACGTTAAAATGATCCAAAATGTGCCAATATTGAAACCTCACTTTTGAAATGATGTACTTGGACCCCAGAAGTGACTCCATATGTATGTAAATCCTTGTTCAGAAACATTATGGCACATTTTCCGACATTAGGGGTAGATTATAAAGGCATAAGCAGAATTATATTTTGGAATGTCAGAAAAATATCCCAGAATGATTGATTGATATTAAAAGAGAAACGTGTAAAGCGTGATAAGTAAACTGCCAAAGTGATTGAAATAAATGATTGCAAAGTTTGAGCTCAATCAATGCATGAAGCATGGTTAGACGGTCATTATGTTTATATAGAATAAAACCGGTTTTTATTACAGTAAGTCACTTATGCCTCTATAAAAGGATGATATAAGTTATATGTTGCAGCTGATATGTTATAGAAATTATATGATACAGAACATGAATTCATCTTTTATAGCTCATATAGAGGACTTGGATAAAACATGATTCATAGTGATTAGATTGACGCCAATGATTTGTTTTTCCAAAACTATCGATTCATAATCCATAATAATAAAGTCTGGCCAGACGAAATAATAAGGACCTGTAGTCCTAAAATTTTGTGAATTATGATCGATGTTTATGGATGAGAAAATATTTTATATTGGGCCTGAAGTCCCATAAATCAAGATATTGTGTACGTATTACAATACTTGAGATTGAATGATTTTGAGACTACATTCCTGTTATCGTTTAAAGTTCTATAATGTGGCAGTTGATGAGAAAATTGGATATCATTGTTATAATATAATATCAATTGTGTGTCCATGTAGGACAATAGTATGTGCACACAACATGCAACATGAATATGAATTCTTTTATGTTTATAATAATTAGATAAGGTGATTGTGTGTTAAGTTATGGTAGTTATATTTGGAATTATTCTTGAAAAAGAATTTGAATTTGATTGAATAACTGCAACAATAAATAATGCAGTAAATACTAAGCATAGCTGAAAAACATATAAAATGGACGCTTGTGCCTAACTATTACATGGATGACTAGAATAAGTGTCACGCCCCGGACCTAGCCGGACACGTCAACAACCCGCCGTACAGTACGAATAGTCAACCGAAGTCCAACTCATCCATACTATACAAGGCGTCATGAATATCATTCACACATAGTACATCCATAAACAAACATAATGTAAAACATGCATTTAAAGTAGCGGAAACGTTAATACAATTGTTCAAGCCACACTTGGCATAACTAGACATACAAGCCCCCAAAGTAATTATTAATAAAATAGTATCCATGAGCATTGTTATAATTGTTTTGAAAACAGGACACAGAAGAAGCACGAACCACGTCTTCTCTCTTGAAAATCCCCGAAGCAACGGGCGTCGGTAGCAACCTTCAAGTTCTACCTGAAACTGTGAGGTGGCCTCCCGCGTGAAGGGGAGGTCAGTACTTGGAAATATTTGACAAGTACAATAGCAACTATACTAAGTATAATCAACGTTTTAATTTCCAAGACCCTCAAAATAGGGTGATATCATAATATAAATAATAATGTATATTTCTCACTTATTATCTTTATAATAAGTAAATTTATTTATTTGTCGGCACACGGCCCTTCTTAGATATCCTCTTTCATTTATCATTTTGCACAACCCAACCCTTGGGTCCTATTATTTCTACGGGACTTGCTACCGCTGTCCGAGACCTCATGAGGCTCCCGGTTCGGACTCCAACATCCCGCCCTTGGACTCGTACCCATCATCCCGTAGGAAGGTAAGGCCCTTCGGGGTCCTATCTTATGTGTTACCGCTACCGGAACCTAGTTAGGTCTCCGATTCGGATTCCACCCTAACCCGTGATCACGATGTAAGTCCATGCTATCCAACCCCGCTCTCTAGAGTCGGGAAGGGCCATGAT